AATCGTTCGGTCCCTGCCAGAGGGAAGGTCAACAGGACAGATGCTTGATGCGGGTGACGCGGGCGATTGATCTCCGAGGGGATCCATCCCTTGCGCGCGATGCAGGGTACGCGGGGGCGGCTCGGTCCAGAGGACAGGCCGATGCTTCATCTGATCGAAACTGCTCCGCTGAAACTTGAAAGAGGCAATAATACTTCAGTTTCTATTCACACATTCATGGTGGCTGATGTGCCGATCTTTTCCACTGCCGAAGGGTGCAGGTACGTGTATATATGCCCCCTCCCCTATAACTTTTTACTCACCCTTTCCGTCGCTACACCTCCCAAAGAAGCTTCGATCTGATCTAGCGCTGTACCAGAGACGACTGGAAGCGAGGAAATTCAGAGCGGCGCAGTGTGATGCTAGGTGACTTGGGGAGATGCAGTGGCAAGCGGCCGAGATAGGTGACATGGGGCCTTGCCAATCGATGTGAAGAAGGTCTCACCGACTGATGCAGGGAAGTTCATCCGTCGTTTTTCAAAAGAGGAGTCAAGCAAGCAGACGTCTGTATGTTTCGTATAGCAATTAATGGCACTCGAGGGAACGGTGCCGGCGGATGGTCGAGGTGCGATACAATTTTGCACTCCTATGATATGAGTACGTCCCGTCCCTTTATACCTTTCCCCCTTCTTCCTCCGGAAATACCATGTCCACCGGCCATGCCTCTCCTGTTCTCCACCAAGGCTGTTGTATCTGCATATTTTTCCTCCCTGTCACCCTTCTTCATTTGGTCAATTCAAGTCGTCCTAAATCTGTTTTTTCTTTTTCTTTTTCTTTTTCTGCTGCAGGTTAGTTAGCATGGAATGCTAAGTGAAGACTATTGAAGTATGGTTCTGGAAAATTTTCGGAAAAATATTCACGAGTTGATTATTTGCAATGGCAATCAGGTTAGTTAGCATGGAATGCTAAGTGAAGATGGGTTTCTTGTCCACTGTATACTGTAGTCTGTACTCTGCTATGTAGGAGAGTGGCAAGGAAGATACATACTTTAAGCTATTATAGGCCCGAGCTACATCTCAATCCTATAAAGACTTTTTTCTTTTCTTTGGGAAGGTCTTTTACCAGGCCAAAAAGTGCGGGAGCTCACAACGTGCTGTAACTCTGGTCCTGAGCATGTACGCTGACCTTACTATATATCTCACCGACTAGATCGTATCACACGACAAGTTTCATCTATCCTTCACATACATTCAGACAACAAAGGTACATAAGATCCTATATCATTTTTCTCTAATCTAATTCATTTAATCTAAACAGTTTAGAAGGTCACTGATGGAGAACATTTCCCATTTCATACTGAATCATAACCATTCAGATTTATATTTATTGATTTGTGCTACTGCTGTTCAATTTTTGCACCTTTTAAATTTATGCAGACAAGTTGTTTGATGTATGCCCAACTAAGCTGCAGATCATTGTTACTGAATTGATGCATAAATTACTTTCTTTTCATATTTTGTAATTTTGTAGTTGAAGCAATTCGTCAAGAACAGACTAATTCGTATTTGTCTCATTCATAGATCTAGCATAGTTTATTTCTATCATTGGCATGCATAGAACATTTTGTGTTTGCAACGCCATATAAGATAACAAGGGATTATTATTTTGCGGATCAAGAAAATTATTTGGAGATAACGTCATGGGAAGGAGTATCATTGGAATATTTCTGTTCTCCCTCTGAAAGTTTTAACAAACTATTAAATACCCCATTGAAATGAATCTCACCTATTCAAATTTCATAGGTGAAGCATTATTATTATTATTATTATTATTATTATTATTATTATTATTATTATTATTATTATTATTATATTTTTTTATCATACCACTTCTGATGCTTGAAACTCTATAACATTTCAACGATCTCCTAACTTTGTCTTTAAACATCTCCTTCCACCGATCTCCACTAGCCGGTGCGCTGGCCCCCTCTTCCTTCGGCCGCTGCTCCGACAGCGGGAGGGAGGGGGGACCCCGTTCCTATGCTCTGTAGTTAGGTTTTGGATTTGTAGGTCGTGGTGCGTCGTTGGGGTGGTGGGAGCGGCGCACAAACGAATAAATCTGCCTCAGCTTCACTAGAGGGCCAGATCGTCGACCTGAGCGCCGAATCCCTAGCCTCCCGAAGAAAAATCGTTCGGTCCCTGCCAGAGGGAAGGTCAACAGGACAGATGCGTGATGCGGGTGACGCGGGCGATTGATCTCCGAGGGGATCCATCCCTTGCGCGCGATGCGGGGTACGCGGGGGCGGCTCGGTCCAGAGGACAGGCCGACGCTTCATCTGATCGAAACTGCTCCGCTGAAACTTGAAAGAGGCAATAATACTTCAGTTTCTATTCACACATTCATGGTGGCTGATGTGCCGATCTTTTCCACTGCCGAAGGGTGCAGGTACGTGTATATATGCCTCCTCCCCTATCACTTTTTTCTCACCCTTTCCGTCGCTACACCTCCCAAAGAAGCTTCAATCTGATCTAGCGCTGTACCAGAGACGACTGGAAGCGAGGAAATTCATAGGTGAAGCATTATTATTATTATTATTATTATTATTATTATTATATCTTTTTTTATCATACCACTTCTGATGCTTGAAACTCTATAACATTTGAACGATGTCCTGACTCTGTTTTTAAACATCTCCTTCCACCGATCTCCACTAGCCTGTGCGCTGGCCCCCTCTCCCTCCGGCCGCTGCTCCGGCGGCAGGAGGGAGGGGGTACCCCGTTCCTATGCTCTGTAGTTAGGTTTTGGATTTGTAGGTCGTGGTGCGTCGTTGGGGTGGTGGAAGCGGCGCACAGACGAATAAATCTGCCTCAGCTTCACTCCCATACCGGCGGTGCCCTTCACGGCGGCGTCTCGGAGTTGATGGCATCGTGTCTCTGCCGATCCTTCAGATCAGCAGCGTTAGGGTTCATGGATGGTGTTGGCGAGGCGGTGGCGACGACTCCATCAGGTGTGTCTCTCCTTCTGCTCTGTCCCCGTTGCTATGGCGTTGTCTCCGATATCATGGTGGAGCAGGGAGGTTTTGTCGTTCAGGAGTACGCGCAGACGGTTGTCTACGCAAGTGACAGCTGAAAGATGGAGAATCTTGTGCTGGGTCTGTGGTTGAAGGCTGACAGTTCTGGTTTCCTCCTCCGACGTCGTCGTCATGTGGGGGTGTCAGTTCTGAAGTTCGATGGCATGTCCGGGGACATGTTGCCCCGGTCTGATTCTTTCAACGGCTATGGTTTTGCTTCTGGCAAACTACTTTGGAGATCCCCAAAGCTGCTGATCAACGATGGAGCCGCGTCGAGTTTGGGTGAAGAGGTGATCTGTCTTCTTACCCTTTGGTGGCCGCTTCGGTGGTGTCGAAGGAGAGGGACAGACGTTGGTATTTTGCATAGGATTTTCCTATCTCTTTAGTCTTGTATAGTCGGTGCTTACGTGCCTTGTAACTTGATCTTTATTCTATATAAATGAGACACGTATTACCATGCAAATAAAACATTGGCCGGGCTTAAATTCCTACTTTGTTTTCTTAGGGCAATGAAGTGGGTTTGAGACATGACCTCTCATAAAGTTTCTACCATTCACTTCAAGTGCCTTGATATTGTGAGCATATGAAGTCTTGCTATTGCACCCAGCATTGATATCTAGCTTCAAAGCTTTTGCGCTTTTGCTTCAAACATTGGAAATGATTTATAAAGCTCATATCAAGCTCCAATATGGTTTCACTACTGTAATTTTTTGAGCCAACACATAGAAATAGATGGACGCAGCAATGCGCGTCATCGATGATCTAGTAAATAATAAACACAATCCATACGACCACAACGTATCAATGGGCGCGGCGTGCCGCCGCGCGGGCTATGCTAGTATGAACTATCACGTCCACTGGGTTAGACTTTGAATACTCGCACTGATCTATTAGTGATCTAAACGATCTTATATTTCTTCACATAGAGAGTACTCGCACTTTTCTTCACATAGAGAGTACTCGCACTGATCTGTATGTGGTAGTCCATTTGAAATCTGTAAAAGGACAAATATTTAGAAACGGAGGGAGTAGTTTATAGTAGAGCATTCAGGTTTTGGCTGAAAAGGATCACACTGAGCTTTTTCGTTTGATTGAAGAACAAGACCACTGTCCGCTTGAGAAGAACAGAAAACAGTATTCACAGTGTTCTAGGACATGTGAAAGGGAGATTTGTTTAGAGAAAAGGGCACTGAATGTATATGAACTATCACGACATCCACTGGCCTGGACTTTTGAGTATTCGCATTGATCTATCAGTGACCTAAATGCTCTTATATTTCTTTACAGAGAAAGTAGATGATAATAGTAGCATTCAGGTCTTGGCTGAAAAGGATCACACTGCTTTTTTGTTTGATTGAAGAACAAGACCACCGTCCGCTTGAGAAGAACAGAAAACAGTACACTTGCAGAAACAACACGCACACAACACATACAAAACCCTGTCAGAAAAACCATACAAAGCACACTTGCAGATCAAACAGCACGCTTCCAACAAGGGTCGACTCGCTGTGGTGGCTGCAACGGACGACACGTGTTCGATTTTCTACAAGCTCTTGGTACACATCGAAACAACCATTTCTGACAGACGAGTGGTGCAAACCGTGGGAATTGCAACAACAACACGTTAACACAAGAGCGTGCGTCTGGATACGCAGTGACACGTTAATAATGTTAGCAATCAGACCGGCGGCGCTTGCTCAGAAACCGCGCACCAAACCCGTCTACCTACACGCAAAGGGCATACACCAAGATCAAAACCCCCGCATGCGCGTGTCCTGATATGATACCCTATGGAAAATCAGAACAGGCAACGCCCCAAGATACAAAACCACCAGAGAGAAAAAAGATCTTTTGGTCAGCCGCATCATCCTGCCATCTTCTTGCCTCGTGTCGTCATGGACCCAATCATCAACCAATCAGCCAAAACGAGGGGATCCCAATCATGAATCAATCAGCCAAAGGAGGGGATCCCGTATCTCCAGCCGTTGGAGGACCGCCGGGCGGGGGGCTGCTGCGGCGCGAAGCTGAGCCCGAACATCTCCCTCAGGACCTGCCCGGGCTCCTGGAGCCCGATCAGCTTGGCCACCAGGGACGCGCTCTCCCTCACGTGCTCCAGGTCTCTGCTCTCCGTCCACAGCCGGCGAGCCACCTGCAGCTTCCTCTTCTTGGAGTCCAGCGACACGCTCCACTTGGTGTACATGTGGTTCCTCTCCTCCAAGGACAGCCGCTTCTGCATCTGCCTCGCCAGCATCTCCCTCTCGCGCTGCAGCTTCTTGGCGCTGCATAATAGATCGGACGTTCTCGGTCAGGTGTGTGTTCGTCCTTTCTCTCATCTTATCTAGGTCATAAAAAAGGGGAATATAGATAATTGGTGTATCAATGATTGCCGCGTACCTCGCGACGGGGGAAGAGCTGAGGCTGCCTACGGTCACATTGCTGGGGGTGCTTCCCCTAGAGTAGGTGTCTCTGAGGAACGACAGCCTTCGAAGCTCCACTTCCATGTAAATCGAATCGGCTGATTCTCCTTTGAACAGCAAGAAGAAGTAAGTCCTGTGGACCAACGAAATGCTGCAAGCGTGCCAGAGCTCAATGATCTCCTGCTGTTTCTTCTCGAATTCCAATGGCCATCGCGAAGGTGATTGCAAACCATCCATGATTGGGTCTAATCCGATGCTCTTTCCATTCCCACTCTACAATGTGGAATACAAATACCAATTAATTATTCAGTTATTAGTGCAACCAAAATAAAGCATTTCAGCAGATCTACTCCATCCGTCCCAAAATAAGTGTCGCTGATTTAATACAATTTTGGGACAGATGTAGTATGTATGTATAAGGACCTGCTCATGATAGATCTCAAGGAGTCATCAAACAATGCTTAAAACCATTTCCAAATTTTCATCACCTTTCTTAGAAAATAAACTGCAGCAAACACATTTCTTAGCATAATTACGACTCCCATTTTCTTTCAGGTAAAATAAATGAGCTGCAGGGGCAAGAGCATAAAATCATGCCTAAACGATAATCCCGTACCTGGTCACCTAACTGTTTCTGATAATGAACCTGAGCCATCTCCTTAAGTTCAGCAACAAATTCACCTATACCGGTAAATTCTGCATCACCTGTCTTGCTAGCTCCCTTTGAAGTGCTAATTTCAGATCCTGCCCTTGAAAGAGTCTCACTGCCTGCATCGTAGTTCAATGCAGATCCTCTTCTCTGGTACTCTTCAGGTCTTCCTGGGAAGATTACCAAACTTCTGTTTACTGGTGTGCAATCCTCCATCTCCATCTCATCAAGTAAAGTAGACCCTGTTAGTGATCTACAGCTCCTGCTTCTACCAATTACTCTACAACTTGATGGGTTGCGTGTTGAAGACCCTAGATCTTTAGTGATAAAAGGCCTTCTGATGTTCTCCAAATGTTGCTCCAAGGTAATAGGAGGTTCACCAAGACGCCTTGAATTCACTGAAGCTGTTGAATCATTACCACGCATGCTAGAATTCCTATTTGAAGCTTGTGGGCTGGTACTTTCTCCAGCTGACAAAGACAAACGTTCATTTCCTCCCGTTTCATTTGGCTCAATACATCGCACTTCCTTGTAATGATCTGAATCATCATGAGAGATCTGAGAACTGTCATCTCTGCTAGCGCTTGGGGGCATTCCAACAGAAGGAGGACTTCTGATTGAACGCTTTCCTGAGACCTAAACATACAAAGAAAACAAATCAGTGTTGGAGTAACAAGGCCAAAAGGTAATAACTAGAAGTCACACAAGTAAAAATACCTGGTGCTTTGGGTCACGATCACCAACAACTTGCAGCAAATCCTGCAACCTGGACTGAGCCAAATCACGTTGCGACTTCAGTTCTTTTATTTCTTTCTCCATCTGCGGAAGACATGCAATGTCATGAATGGATAGAAAGAAAAATGAGTTTATCTGTGTGTATTCCAAGGGAAATACAGAGGTAAGCAATATCAATCTCCATTATTCAGGAACGAAAGAAAACAGACTAGAGTTTTCCATGCACTGTACCTTTCTGATTTGGTTGTCCTTTTCCTTCACCTGTGCTTCCAGACTAGAGTTTGAAACTGGCTGCCGCAACTCACTCTCCAGTCTAGCAACTTCCTTCTGCAAATGCTTAACTAGTGTTTTATCGGACATGACCACATTAACCTGGGCATTTGTAACTACATCCTTTGCACAACTCCCGAAAAAGAGTGTATTCCTTGATTGCTCAATGTGACTTGTTGCAGGGCTGAGTGTACAAATAATTGCAGTTCTTGCATTGCCTCCCAAAGAAGGTTGTAATATGCGTGTAAGCTTGGAGTCTCTATACGGTACGTGTGCATTACTCCCCATGCTGAATAATGAAAGAAAGCTTGAAATGTCAGCAACTAACAATCCCATGACTACACAAGTAATTACTCCTATAATGTGAAGAATCAAAGCAAAGTAAAAATGTGAGCTGAATTTGCAACCTTAGCTTCCTAATGACAGTGCCAAGGGAAAGCAAACTTTTATTGATGTGGCAACCTTCTTTCAGCCTTGTGCCAGCTGACATAGCCTGAGATGCACGCTCACTTCCTGCCAAATCAACAAAGTTCTGCATGGGAAATATAATTGCCGCTTACACTCTTTCTCCAGATTGTATAAACTTAACAAACTGTGGCGTCTTTCTTACCACACTAGCCACAAGGGTAGTTGACTTGTCCTTTCCTAAGAATTCACGAGCAGAACTTTCAACAGTCTGAATTGGTAGATGAACATTAAACGGTCAGCAAACATGCACACATCTATGACGAATGGGACACATATACATCAAAGTATTTCGTAAATATAATCAAGTTAAGGACAAACCAATTTAAGTATTTGATGTGATCTGGAGCTTTTTTCATTTAAGAAGGTCTCCCCCGTTCTCCTTTGAGCTATTACAATCACGTAAAGCACAAATGAGAACATACAATAACCATTAGTTACACAATATGCAAGCTGCTATTAGTAAGCAATATTGAACCTTCGCAAACGGAAATAAGCCCCTTGAGGTGGTTCCAGTCCCTTAATATAACCTCCGTAAGATTCTCCACGTAGGTGCCTTTCTGTAGAATAAACATCACTAAACCGGTTAGCAAACATGAGCATAACATACTCAAGGTTAACAATGCTGAAAAAGAACATATTATTACCTCTGCATCATCCCAAAGTCTAAGAGGAGTATTTTCTGCACTCAGAAGATCCCTAACAACTTCATTATATATTTCAATTGCTGAGAACTTCAACACGAATGCTCTCTCCTCATGCTGAAAAGGAAACACTGGTTTGAGGACTTTGTAACAACCGAGACCAAAACTTGGCCATGGAAGCTATGGTTGGCTGGGAGTTGATCACCTTGTTAATATAATCATATATATCTGCTACTGTGCATTCTGTCACTCCAGTCATAGTGTATGTCTTTCCACTACTTGTTTGCCCGTACGCAAAAACACTTGCTGAGAGAGAAGACACACTCTGATTTAGTTCAAATGCTATTATGTTTCACAATTTTCGACTCACAAGCTTTTGTTTAGTTTGCACTCACAGTTAATGCCACCAACTACAGAGAGGGCAACTTCCTTGACCCCTTCCTGGTAGACTTCTTTCGTACTGCACTCAGAATGAAATACCCTGTCTGCAAATACAAGAGATTTATGTTTAAAAACGATACACGTTAGGAAAATGGAACCAAACTATACTAGTATTACCAACTAATGACCACAACTTACCTGAGATACTTACATAGCAATTGAACACATTGGAATGATTTAAACAGTAAGTTAACAATAGATAAAGCCATAATCACTATGCAGTGATATAAACGTCAAGTATACATGAAATTGTGTAGGGAAATATGATGTTTGAGTGTTGCTTCTAAGAGCAGTTGTAGTACTCTACATCAGGTGTTATGAAAAATGTTCCCAAAAAGCAGTAGTACAAACTAATTAACCATATTGAAGAACCAGAGCAATGAAAAAACACAAAAGATGTAAGCATGAAAAGAGCAGAACACAGCTCACTAACCAAATGTGTATGCGGTTGGAGCCGTGGGTCGATCCGGGAAGGTACTCCGGAACATGATGGTGGTGTCATTGATGCACTCCCACTCGGCAGGCTCACCCCTTGCAATCTCCTTGTCACTCAGCGGCCTCACCCTCACTAACACCTGTATCCTATCCAGGCTTCCTGCGCCACTCCCACCGCCATTCACCACCTCCGCCCCATTCATCTTGTCCCACTGCACGGACTCGTTGCCTCCAATCGCCCCCATTCGCTCTCCCACTTACCTGCCCCGTCCAGCACCTCTCCCTACACCATCTGCCAGAAATGCGCCATTATAAGACCACAGCCAAGAAGCAAGGCACATATGATACGTACACGAATAAAGAAGAAGCAGACAAGAAGCCAACACGGCAGGGGATGCACGAATCTGTCCTGTCCCAGTGGATTTGAGTGCCGGGCAAGGCTGTTGACGAGCTTGCTGCTGCTGCTGCGGGTGGAGGAGAAGGCAAGCATTTTTATGTGGACCCTTGGCTACCAGTAATTACGCGCATCATCAGGGTTCAGGACAGTGGTTAGCATGTCCGATGGCCGGATACAACCGGAGAACCACCGATAATGCCAAATCTATGGCGCCCCTGTCACGCTAACCATCCTCCTTCCCGAGGAATTCGCAGTTATTAGCAGATCTGCACGAAGCAATCGCCTGACCTAAGCACTCCCTAACAACCGGAACAGTAGCCCCAGCAGGCTCACATCGACGTCGCCACCAACCAGCCGCAACAGCAGCTCTCCTCTCCTCTCCTCTCCTCCCCTCTGGTGACCAGTAATGCTCAAGCAATAGCATAATAAAGGAAAAGCGGGTGAGTTATTAATAACATACCGAGGCTTGGCGAAGACGGGCGGCTCCGGCAGGCGAGGAAGCGACGTTTCTCCGGACGGCGGCGGCCATGGCTCGGGCGATTTCTGGCGGGGGATTCGCAGGGGAGTGGGGGGTTTTGGAGTCGTGAGGTGGGGGGAGGGGGTCTGGGAGTGGCGCCGACCTCACCGCGTGCGACTGCTCCCCACGACGATCGATTTGGGGGAGAGAAGGGTCAGGAGTGTGGGAGACGGTGGCTCGATCTTTTTTTCCTTTTTTTTTTCTTTTTCTTTCTGCCAACCCCAGGAGACCGTTGCTTGGATTCCTCTGTCCCCTCTCTCCCGGGGATCGTTTTCAATGATCTTGCTTAGTGGGCGCTTTTGCACGCAGGCCCTTTATGTTTTATATATGTTGTTTCAGTTAAGTGCTTTCCACTGCACGTATTCGCAAACGCTGTACGCCCGTATACTGCGCCGTATTGTACGTACGAGCAAGCAGCTACTGGTAGCGAAATCGATCCAAGAGTAATGAATCACTCGGATGGTATGCTTGCCGAAATCTCAGCGCACGCAGAACCGGATACGTACGAGGGACGGGACAAGGGATGCCGGGGGAGTAAAGAAGGGAACATCCATGATACGTGCCGTGTATTTATCTCGGCAAGTTAATGCGGCGTGGAAATTTCGTGCGGGGGACAGACGGACAGTGCGGCGAGCAAATTCAAATGCTTGGCCGTTCTGACTATAGTGAGCGGTGGACCGCGTCTGAAGGTGGCCGGTGAACATCGGAGAATTGCTCACCACTAAGGGCATCTCCAGCCGTTTGGCCCCCCAGGGCGCCTAAATAGAGCGGCCTGAGGCGTGCCGGCGCTAGTTCGGTCCCTGGGGGCGACCTAGGTCCCAGTCACGTCCCCCACGCGCCGGCCCCAGGATGCGGGAAATTCAAACTTGGTCGTTCCCGTTCTCAAAAGACGCCGCAAATCCGGCGGTCGGACGTAGTCTGGCGTTACAAAAAACAGAGGGGCGCCGTGCGCAACGAATCACTCGGCTTGGTCGGCTCCAGGCGTTGGCGGAGTCGGCGTGCGCGGGATCGTCGGTGCCGGACCTGCTCCGTCGCAGGGCTGCGTCGGCGCGGCTTCGGCACTGCTGGGCGGCGATGTAGAGGCGCCGTCCGGGCTTGGCGCCGTGTGATCGTGGGCGTCATCGGCGTCGTCGGCGTTGCCGTCGGCAGCTCGTTCAGGATGAGGCCGCGCTGCACCAGGTACCACGCCTTGAGCTTCTCGTCGTTGCTCTGGAGCATGTCCGCCCCGCTCATCAGAAAAGCCATGTCGGTGTTCCTCTTCTTCGCGGCGACGTTCGTCCGGAGCAAGTCGAGCTTGATGGCGTTGTTCTTCATAAGCGACGACCACCGCGCCTTGGTCTTCTATTCGCGTAGGACGGTCCGAGCCTGGGCGTCGGCGAGGCAATGCTCGATGGACTCCTGCACTCGCGTGGTTGCCGCGTCGGCGCTTTTCCCCTTCTTTGCCAACTTGTGGCCGTCCGGCCGTCCCTCTGACGCGCCCGGAGTCGACGCGTCTGGCTTGTATGTCTCCTTGGCCTTATCGAGGGCACGCCGGACTTCCGCCCACTTCTCGCACTTGTCAATGCGCTTGTAGACGTGGAGGTGCTTGAAGTCGGCGTCTTGGTTGTCGCCCCGATACATGGCGAACATACGCAGCAGCTGCGCGGAGAGACAAACAGTTGGCGGGCGGCGGGCGTAGGGGACGAAGATATGCGGGCGAACGGCGTGCGTACCTGATCCTCAATGCTGGCGCCGCTCTCCGGGCGAGCCGCGACCTCCTCGACGATTCCATGCCATTTGTTGCACGCCAACTGGATACGCCCCCAATGGTTCGCCATCGCCTTGGAGCCGCGCTGCATGTACACGCCTTTGAAGTAGGGGTCGACGAGCTTTTGCTCGTCGAACTCGGCCTTGATGCGGTCCCAGTACGTGTCCAAACTCTGGTTCGCGTCGGTGGTCGGGTCGAGGCAGACGACTTTCCATGCTTCGGCGAGGCATTCCTCCTCCTTGGACGTCCACTTGATGCGCGGTTCGCCTGACCTAGCCGCCCGCTTCTTCTTCTTCTGGCGCCCCTTCGTCGGAACAGGAGCCGGTTCCTCCTCCTCCTCCTCCTCGTCCTCCTCCTCCTCGGGTTCCTGCGCGTCGTCGCCGTAGACGTGGCCGAGCTCGGCCTCCATGTCGCCGTTGAGGTCCACTACCTCGTCCTGGGTGGCGAACCCGGGAGACTCGGCGGCCGCGGTCGATCCTGTCGCGATGATGTCGTCCATGTCGGCTCCTGTGTCGTCGGTGTCACCGAGGTGCGAGAAGGGTAGTGGTCCGCGGTAGAGATGGGGCGTCAGTGTGGACGCATAGGAGGCGGGCAGCGAGTAGTTGTATGGAGGGTACTGCACGCCGACGAAGGCGGGCGATGGCGTGCGCGTAGCGGGGTGACCATGAGGGAAGGTCGCGTTTGGGTTGAACCCGCCATGCGCGTCGCCGTCGGCGTAGCCGGGCGATGATGAACCCCATGGAGATCCGGCGCCTTGCTGCCCCCAGGGCGCGTACTGGGCCTGGCCGACGACGGGTGGATTCTTCCCCGCCTGGTCGACCGATGAGGAAGACGCCACCGCGCGTGCCGCGGGCCTTCTTGGCTATGGCCATGTTCCGCTTGTCGGCGGTGACCGCTTCGCGCCACTGAACTTCCACCCTTCACTCGGCGTTCGACGGGCCCGGTGGCTTCGATGGCGGGCCACGGTTGCCGCCGCGCGCGGCATGGCGTACTTCTTCGGCGGCATGGCGTGCTTCTTCGCGGCGAGCGGGAGGGGGTTTGGCGGGAGAAAGGCGAGTGAGCGGGAGAAAGGGATAGAATGGCGGGAGGAAGGCGAGCGAGCGGGAGAGATGCGAGGGAAAAGCGTCAAGAAACGGCGGGAAAAGACCCTCGGGTCGCTTCCAGGGCGGGCCCATGCGTCCTTTTCGCTTGCGCCGGCTCCCCAAGCGCCCCCCAGGGCGCCGGGTTCGGCCTAGGTCCGTCGGCACCAGTTTTGGCCCGAGCCGGTGAAAAACGGGTTTCTGGGGGCGCGACTGGGGCCTTTTTTTTGTTGCTGGCGACAAAATCGTCTGGGGAAGGTCTGTTGGGGGCGCGGCTGGAGATGCCCTAACGTACGAGTATGATTGAGGGTGTGCAGCTCTAGCTTCAGCCGACACCACCTTAACAACGGCTATAATTTGGCCTCTTGTTATTTTATATAAACGCGAACGGTTTATTCTAGACAATCGGCTAATGTATCATATGGTGCCTTCTTTTTATTGCGGAATATCTGAAGTCAACTTTATCCGTATGTTAAGTTTAGTCCAAAATTAGTTGTTTTTTTCTTGGAAGTTTCTTCAGGCGATAAAATAAAATGGAAAACCGTGTCCGCAATGCATAATTTCTGGAGTCAACTTATCCATTTGTTAAGATATAAGTTCGAAAATTAGTTATTTTCACGGTGCAAAAAAGGTCTTCAATCCTACTATACCGCACTTTCGGCATCTTCAACGCCGACCCGCAAACCTCCGCATGCGTTCGAAACGTGTTGCCCGGGCAGCGGAGGTCATCCAACGTGGGCCTGTATCGGTTCACGGCGTGATCCGGACGCGATTTCTCCCGCAAATTGGAGACAAACGTGAGGAGATTTGCAGGAGTCCGGACCGATCCCACGCCCACTTCTGACCGACCTGCCCTACCAAAAAACCCTCACCCGCCCGCCCCGTGCTTTCCTTCCTATGCAAGTGTCGCTTACCGCGCTGCATTCATGCCGGTCCAAAGCATGTGGAAGCTGACATTGATGCCGCGATGTGACCGGAGTGAGGGCGGGCAGCGCTGACCGACACGACATCTCGGCAGCCGCCGCTTCAATGCGGACGCAGGTTCTCAAGGAACCAACTCCGGCCTCTGCGCCGCATTGAAGCGGCTGACCGGCCCTTCGCATGGCTTGATCGTGGCTATATAAGCCGCGCTCTAGTGCCGTCCATGTGGCATCCGCCTCCTCCTCCTCCTCCTTCCCTCTCCCGGCCCATCTCCCTCCGCATCTCCGGCGACGGGCAAGTCCTGGGCGTCGGTGCCGGTAGGCGGTTCCGGGGTGGGATCTGGCGGATCGTGGCGACGCCGCCCTCAAACTCCAGGGCCGTCGTCCTCATCGGCGGGCGGCTCGTCGATGAAGGCGAAGATTGTCATCTCGTCCCGCGATGAGGAGGACCGGCAGCCGCCGCATTAGCAGTCCGCGTCGGTGATGACGGCCCAGGTTTATGCCGCCACCGAAGCGGAGTTCGAGGAGCAGATGGAACTGATGCTCCGTCGCTCCATCGTCCACATCAATGGCCCAGCTCCGCCA